ATGATTTCCTTCACTTTTCTCCCATTTGTCTTTCATTTGTCTCCCACTCTGGGTCTGGTTGGTCGCATGATTTCCTTCACTTGTCTCCCATTTGTCTTTCATTTGTCTCCCACTTGTCTCCCACTCTGGGTCTGGTTGGTCGCATGATTTCCTTCACTTGTCTCCCATTTGTCTTTCATTTGTCTTCCACTTGTCTCCCACTCTGGGTCCGGTTGGTCGCATGACTTCCCTCACTTGTCTCCCCTTTGTCTTTCATTTGTCTCCCACTTGTCTCCCACTCTGGGTCCGGTTGGTCGCATGATTTCCTTCACTTGTCTCCCATTTGTCTTTCATTTGTCTTCCACTTGTCTCCCACTCTGGGTCCGGTTGGTCGCATGATTTCCTTCACTTGTCTTCCATTTGTCTTTCATTTGTCTCCCGCTTGTCTTCCACTCTGGGTCTGGTTGGTCGCATGATTTCCCTCACTTGTCTCCCATTTGTCTTTCATTTGTCTCCCACTTGTCTCCCACTCTGGGTCTGGTTGGTCGCATGATTTCCTTCACTTTTCTCCCATTTGTCTTTCATTTGTCTCCCACTCTGGGTCCGGTTGGTCGCATGATTTCGCTTTCTTGCCTCCCATTTGTCTTTCATTTGTCTGTCACTTGTCTCCCACTCTGGGTCTGGTTGGTGGCATGATTTCCCTTCCTTGTCTCCCGTTTGTCTTTCATTTGTCTCCCACTTGTCTCCCACTCTGGGTCTGGTTGGTCGCATGATTTCCTTCACTTGTCTCCCATTTGTCTTTCATTTGTCTCCCACTTGGCTCCCACTCTGGGTCGTGTTGGTCGCATGATTTCCTTCACTTTTCTCCCATTGGTCTTTCATTTGTTTCCACTTGTCTCCCACTCTGGGTCCGGTTGGTCGCATGATTTCCTTCACTTGTCTCCCATTTGTTCCCCAAACAGGTTTACCTGTATGGAGTTCTTACTCCTTTCAAAGGGTTGCATCCCTGGGCCGGATGATTTTGCCTCTGTCTCCGGGCTTGCATCCCACTCTGGGTGCCTTGGAGCGCATGAGTTTACACCTGTCTTCCACTTGTCTTTCACACTTGTCTGCCACTCTGGGTGCCTTGGGCCGCATGAGTTTACAGTTTAAACTTGTCTCCCACACTTGTCTTTCACACTTGTCGCGCGCTCTGGGTGCCTCGGGCCGCATGAGTTTACACTTTTTTCCATTTGTCTCCCACACTTGTCTCCCACTCTGGGTGCCCTGGGCCGCATGAGTTTACACTTGTCTCACACTTGTCCCTCACACTTGTCTCCGACTCTGGGTGCCTTGGGCCGCATGAGTTTACACTTGTCTCCCACTTGTGTCCCACACTTGTCCCCCACTCTGGGTGCCTTGGGCCGCATGAGTTTACACTTGTCTCCGACACTTGTCTCGCACTCTGGGTGCCTTGGGCCGCATGAGTTTACACTTGTCTCCCACACTTGTCTCCCACACTTGTCTCCCACACTTGTCTCCCACACTTGTCTCCCACACTTGTCTCCCACTCTGGGTGCCTTGGGCCGCATGAGTTTGCACTTGTCTCCGACACTTGTCTCGCACTCTGGGTGCCTTGGGCCGCATGAGTTTACACTTGTCTCCCACACTTGTCTCCCACTCTGGGTGCCTTGGGCCGCATGAGTTTGCACTTGTCCCCCACTTGTTTCCCACTTGTCTCCCACACTTTTCTCCCACTCTGGGTGCCTTGGGCCGCATGAGTTTGCACTTGTCCCCCACTTGTTTCCCACTTGTCTCCCACACTTTTCTCCCACTCTGGTTGCCTTGGGCCGCATGAGTTTACACTTGTCTCCCACTTGTCTCCCACACTTGTCTCCCACTCTGTTCTTTGGGCTGCATGAGTCTAAGCTTGTCTCCCACACTTGTCTTCCACACTTGTCTCCCACTCTGGGTGCCTTGGGCCGAATGATTTTACACTTGTCTTCCATTTGTCTCCCACACTTGTCTCCCACTCTGGGTGCCTTGGGCCGCCTGTCTCCCACTTGTCTCCCACTCTGGGTGCCTTGGGCCGCATGAGTTTACACTTGTCTCCCACTCTTGTCTTCCACACTTGTCTTCCACACTTGTCTTCCACACGTGTCTCCCACTCTGCTTGCCTTGGGCCGCATGAGTTTACACTTGTCTCCCACACTTGTCTCCCACACTTATCTCCCACACTTGTCTCCCACTCTGGGTGCCTTGGGCCGCATGAGTTTACACTTGTCTTCCACTTGTCTCCCACACTTGTCTCCCACTCTGGGTGCCTTGGGCCGCATGAGTTTACACTTGTCTACCACTTGTCTCCCACACTCTGGGTTCCTTGGGCCGCATGAGTTTACACTTGTCTCCTACACTTGTCTTCCACGCTTGTCTCCCACTCTGGGTGTCTTGGGCCGCATGAGTTTGCACTTGTCTCCCACTTGTTTCCCACTCATGTCTCCCACTCTGGTTGCCTTGGGCCGCATGAGTTTACACTTGTCTCCCACACTTGTCTCCCACTCTGGGTGCCTTGGGCCGCATGAGTTTACACTTGTCTTCCATTTGTCTCCCACGCAAGTCTCCCACTCAAGGTGCCTTGGGCCGCATGAGTTTACACTTGTCTCCCACTTGTCTTCCGCACTTGTCTCCCACTCTGGGTGCCTTGGGCCACATGAGTTTACACTTGTCTCCGACACTTGTCTCGCACTCTGGGTGCCTTGGGCCGCATGAGTTTACACTTGTCTCCCACACTTGTCTCCCACACTTGTCTCCCACACTTGTCTCCCACACTTGTCTCCCACTCTGTTCTTTGGGCTGCATGAGTGTAAGCTTGTCTCCCACAGTTGGCTTCCACACTTGTCTCCCACTCTGGGTGCCTTGGGCCGAATGATTTTACACTTGTCTCCCACTTGTCCCTCACACTTGGGTGCCTTGGGCCGCATGATTTTACACTTGTCTTCCACTTGTCTCCCACACTTGTCTTTCACTCTGGGTGCCTTCGGCCGCAGGATTTTACACTTGTCTCCCACTTGTCCCTCACACTTGGGTGCCTTGGGCCCCATGATTTTACACTTGTCTTCCACTTGTCTCCCACACTTGTCTTTCACTCTGGGTGCCTGGGCCCGCATGAGTTTACACTTGTCTTCCACTTGTCTCCCACACTCGTCTCCCACTCTGGCTGTCTTGGGCCGCATGATTTTATACTTGTCTCCCACACGTGTCTCCCACTCTGAATGTCTGGGAGTGCATGAGTTTACTCTTGTCTCCCACTTATGTCCCAGACTTGTCTCCCACACTTGTCTGAATTCCACACTTGCCTCCCACACTTGTCTCCCACACTTGTCTGCCACTCTGGGTTCCTTGGCCCGCATGAGTTTACACTTGTCTCCCCCTTGTCTCCCACACTTGTCTCCCACTCTGGGTGCCTTGGGCCGCATGAGTTTACACTTGTCTCCCCCTTGTCTCCCGCACTTGTCTCCCACTCTTGGTGCCTTGGGCCGCATGATTATACACTGGTCTCCCACTTGTCTCCCACACTTGTCTCTCACACTTGTCTCCCACACTTGTCTCCCACTCTGGGTGCCTTGGGCCGCATGAGTTTACACTTGTCTTCCACTTGTCTCCCACACTTGTCTCCCACACTTGTCTCCCACTCTGGGTGCCTTGGGCCGCATGAGTTTACACTTGTCTACCACTTGTCTCCCACACTCTGGGTGCCTTGGGCCGCATGAGTTTACACTTGTCTCCTACACTTGTCTTCCACGCTTGTCTCCCACTCTGGGTGTCTTGGGCCGCATGATTTTACACTTGTCTCCCACTTGTCCCCACACTTGTCTCCCACACTTCTCTTCCACACTTGTCTCCCACAATTGTCTCCCACACTTGTCTCCCACTCTGGGTGCCTTCGGCCGCAGGAGTTTACACTTGTCTCCCCCTTGTCTCCCGCACTTGTGTTTCACTCTGGGTGCCTTGGGCCGCATAATTTTACACTTGTCTGACACTTGTCCGTCACACTTGGGTGCCTGGGGCCGCATGAGTTTACACTTGTCTCCCACTTGTCTCCCACACTTGTCTCCCACTCTGGGTGTCTTGGGCCGCATGATTTTACACTTGTCTGCCACTTGATTCCCGCACGTATCTCCTACTCTGGATGTCTGGGAGCGCATGAGTTTACACTTGTCTCCCACACTTGTCTCCCACACTTGTCTCACTTGTCTCCCACACTTGTCTCCCACTCTTGTCTCCCACTCTGGGTGCCTTGGGCCGCATGAGTTTACACTTGTCTCCCACTTGTCTCCCACACTTGTCTCCCACACTTGTCTCCCACACTTGTCTCCCACACTTGTCTCCCACACTTGTCTCCCACTCTGAGTTGCTTGGTTCGCATGTACAATATAATTGAAAATGTCTACATCTGTTTGGGGTCAACGCTGGTATAATTGTAGTTTTTGCCCGAAGAGGTACTCCACGCTGAAGGGATGAAAGGGGAATCAACACCGACTGGGTTCTTGGCTCACGAGGGTCTTCGCCCTTGTGGCTGGGGGAAGGGCAAGTTCCCAGTGAAGACGTGGCCACCCTTGAATTTGTTGGTTAGGTGTTGATGAACCTGGATTCCTGCGAGCAGGAAGGGGGAGTGCGGTTGGGAAACTAGCACAGAGTACCATTGCACCCCCATAAGAAAGTTTTTCAACGTTTTCCATGGTCGTTGAGACGTCCTCCGGCTGTGGCAACGATGGCTCAAGCCATTCAATTGGCTCAAGTACACCGAGCCCAACTTGGAGTGAAAAAGGTGCACTTGCATCTGCCTTGGGAAGGGGCTCGGTAGTGTGAAACCCATGCTATCTTTTTGGGAGTCAGCCCACTAAGTAAATGGGTTATACCATGTTATACCCCAGTTACATTCACGGAGTATCCCCAGTTATACATGGCTTATATTATATGGGTTATAAACCACGGATCCGATTCGTGGAGCCCGCACATCACTTGCGCATTTTATTCGGCAGGACGAGGAGGGTCAACTGGGATGCAAGAGTTGCCCGAGTTCCACCAGCACCCTTGGCTTTGGCTCGTTGGCAGCAGTTATGAAGATGTTGTTGGCCAGAGACAAGAAAATGGGATGGAACTGATATGTATACATATAAAGGTACAGTCATATCGAAATAGTAATTTGTTTATGTTTTACCATTTAGCATATTTTAAGGATTAAATATTCTATCATGAGTAACTATACTATTTTTTTCAGATGTTTATATACTTTGTATCTTTAATATGATAATATAAACATGTATAAATTATATAATATAATATTGTATTGTATAATACTGTGTTAAATTATATCAAACTAAATTAAATTAAATTATATCGTATTATATAATATATATCCTTCACCTTAAACCATATTATATATATATTACTCGTTTAGATTAAATACTATATATATTGTTAAAAGTTATATATGATACATTTTACACTATATGTTAGATGTTATATTTTTTACATATCATGTATTACATATTACATATTTCATATGAACATTCTATGTTATATTCTGTATTATATACGGTATGGTGTATAGAATATTAATACATAAATAAATATATATATATAATAATAATAAAATATGTAATTAAAAAAAACTATTCTATATAATTTTTAATGCACAATATCCATGATTTATATACTATATATTATAGAATATAAATATTTTTTCATCAATACAATACATATTATATATACTACAATATATGTAATACAATATATGTCATATTCAATATATTATAAATGCAATGTACAATAATTAAGATATAATATATCACATATAACGTATATATTTTTAATATATATTCTATTTGATTTATAATATTTGATATTTATTTTATACAATATATAGTTTTTTCTACAATGGAAAATATTTAAAATATAGTCAAGATTTTTTGTATATGATGTATAATATATAGTATTACATTTTTTCTGAAAACATCATGTATAGATATATGTTATGATGTGTTTCATAGTATACTATATATAAAATGTTTTATAATATATTTATTGAATATGTAAGATATTATTATACACTATACATTACCGATTGCTGTATATATATATATATTGTATATTTGTACTTTGTATTATTTTTTTCTGTGTTATATATACTACATTGTTTAATTTGTAATCTTAAATATATTAAATGTAATATTTAATATTATATATTGTTTGAAGTAATTATGTATCATTCATCTTTGTCTCGGTTATTTATATATTATATATGTTATAGTATATATTTGAAATATTCATAATAATGTATGATACAATTTAAATTAGATGTTATATGTTAATATATCACATATTTTACATATATGCATACATCATCAATAGTTTTATTGGGGAATACGACCCAGAGAAATGATGAGTTTTTTCGGGGTTAGCAACCCTAAAATAATCTGAAAAATTGGAGACCTGGACACCATGAGGTAAGGTTCGGGGGAACAACTTCCTGGAACCACTTCCATCTATTTAAGGGTTTCTTGTAACACTGCAACGCAAACACGATCAGCATCGGCATCCCCTTTCCCTCTCTTGAAGTTTTTGGTGGCCAAGGGTCAGTTGCTCCAAGCGAGTGTGGGTGTCCCGAGAACTACATTGACATGGACCGGTCAGGCAAGGGAATCGTGATTGCTAGTCCCGCTAGTCGTGTGCCTGAAAAAGACAAGTCTACATGGGCCATGTGGCTCCGCTGCTACGGGGACGTATTACTTGCAGTGTTTTCCTGGTTTCATTAAATGCTTATTGCAGGGCCCTTGAGAGGATGATCCCACACTTCCTGGGGTTAGCAGACTTCACCAGCAGAAATCAGACAAGTCTTGTCAGTGCCATCGCAAGGGAAAATTGAAAAACAGATGCGCGCATTGGGACTGAGAAACATACCTTGAATGATCTGACACGTCAAACGAATTTTCATGTCCTGTGCAGACAGAGGGGTGGCATTTGATTGTTGACTATACCCATGTGGGTCCTTTGATCATGTTCATCTAAGCTGACCTTGCCCTAGGAGGCTTCGAGTGTGTCCGGTGCAGTGGGGGAATGACATGCCCCGCTCTATCTTCGTTGGCTGCCTGTCTGAAGTGATGCTGCACAGACATGTTGTGCAAACTCTGGCAAGCAGCCTGCAGCAACATTTTTCCCCAACAGCGTAAGCTAATGACTTCAGCCTAGAACAGCTCCGGTGTGCACTGGTGCAGGCGCCGGGTCAGGTTCAACGATATTCCGGAGAAGGTTCCGAAGGTTGGGTTCAGGGGAAGGTCTGGGAGGCTTTGGTGCAGGGCCAGGTCAGGTTCAACAAGGTTCCGGAAAAGGTTCCGGAGAAGGTGTGGGAGGCTTTGGTGCAAAGCCAGGTCATGTTCAACAGGGTTCCGGAGAAGGTTCCGGAGAAGGTCTGGCGCAGGGCCAGGTCAGGTTCAACAGGGTTCCGGAGAAGGTTCCGGAGAAGGTTTGGGAGGCTTTGGTGCAGAGCCAGGTCAGGTTCAACAGGGTTCCGAAGAAGGTTCCGGAGAAGGCCGGAGAAGGTGTGGGAGGCTTTGGTGCAAAGCCAGGTCATGTTCAACAGGGTTCTGGAGAAGGTTCCGGAGAAGGTTTGGGAGGCTTTGGTGCAGAGCCAGGTCAGGTTCAACAGGGTTCCGAAGAAGGTTCCGGAGAAGGTTCCGGAGAAGGCCGGAGAAGGTGTGGGAGGCTGCCAGGTCATGTTCAACAGGGTTCTGGAACAGGTTGCGGAGAAGGTTTGGGAGGCTTTGGTGCAGAGCCAGGTCGGGTTCAACAGGGTTCCGAAGAAGGTTCCGGGGAAGGCCGGAGAAGGTTTCGGAGAAGGTGTGGGAGGCTTTGGTGCAGAGGCAGGTGAGGTTAACAGGGTTCCGGAGAAGGTTCCGGAGAAGGTTCCGAAAAAGGTTTGGGAAGCTTTGGTGCAGAGCCAGGTCAGGTTCAACAGGATTTGCGGCCTTTTAATACACGAAAACCGAGGCGAGGTGTTTCCAGCGGTTGGCTTCGCAGACGCTTCAGAAAGATTTGTAAAAAATAAAAGGTTGCGGCTGTTGGGGATACCACCGAAGCTGATTTTGATATTCTGTTTGGTTTTTGGATTTGGCAATAGGTTGCTTTGATTCCTTTCAAGTAGACTGCCCTCGTTCAGGTTGACTTGGAGAGTGGAACCAGCGTTTTGGGGGAGGAGTTCACTCCAAAGATCCAGAAGGGTTTCTACTCCATCGCAGGTTCTTCAACTTCAACGGAGGCGTGATACCAGAAGGCATTGAAACGACTTTTTATTAATGTCCTGGATTTGTTCAGTAATGAATGGAAAATACCACCCCAAAATGCATGTCTACTTGGGGAGGCAAGGATAAACCATTGCATTTTTGGGGCTCCTTTTTGAACATACAATGCAGCCGCTGTGCCCTTGCCTACCAACATTCTCGACAGCCGGGTTTCCAGCTCAGCAGGGTTTCAGGCTTTCAGTTGAGGTTCCAGGGTTCCAGGCCTGTTCAAAAGGACGCGGGCAGAGCAGACCAAAATAGCGGTGGTGGTGTCATGCAAGTTACGTTTTTGTTTGGTCCTGGGATTGCGGAGTTTCTTGTTGTAACAAGTAGCTACTGTTGGGGATATGTCATGTGGGTCTTTTTGAAGATTGCGATGATTGTGATGCGCCCAGCAGTGGGGTAACCATGTTTTTTCCAACAGCAGAGAGCTGTTGGAACATGACTTGGTACCTTGACCTCCGGGGTTTGATACTCCGATGCTTGCGGTTTCAGACTTAGATGGTTCCAGGATTCAGCGCGATTGGACAAATCTAGGTCTCTCCACATTTGCAAGCGTTGCCAGCCACCGCGAGCAAACCAATAAAAGTCAGGATTAGGTGAGAAACCTTGGAGCTACCGGCAAATGGCAATAGACAACCTGCACTCACCAGCTCATCTGACGAAAGTGTGCGCGAGACTGTAGCGCGAGCTTTGTTTAGCGGAAAAAGGGCATGACACCCCGCTCTGAGAGCTCAAGGAAGAGGTGGCTTAGGCCCAGAGAATGCTTGATTCAGAAGCCGAAAGAAGGAAAGCTGAAGAAGAGCTACCCCAAAGACAAGGTAGCTGAAACACAACATATCTGGGGTGCGAGAGAGAGGGAGAGATAGACCTCGCTCGCAGAGCATTGTTGGAAGATAAAAATGAGATCGACAAAATGTGCACCAGGTCGGACACGGAATTTTTCTGTCCGCCGGAGCTGGGGTGCAGAGTTTCTGGGATTCGTTGCAGCTCCAGGGTCCTACTGCCTGCGTTTTGTTAATGTGAGATGGACGCAGGCCGGCTGCAATGTAGAGAAGAGCTGAATGAAGGAAGCATCGTCCCACTGAAAAAAACGCAGAGAAGAAGTGGCTAGGACTAGGACAGAGTTGCGTCAGAGAAGTAGCTGCTGCAAGAGTTGGCTTAGAGAATTCAATAGTTCAGTGAAGAGTTCGCTGGGAGAATGGGTGGCTGAGAAAAGGTGCGGGTCCAGGAAGAAGGAGCTCAGACAAAATAATGGGTCAGAGAGGATGCAGCGCAGAGGAGAAGGAACTCAGAGAAGAGGAGGCTTGCTTCAATCATGTAACCTCTCAGTGGCCTGCACGGCCTGCCAACTGTTCATCCCGTCAGCCTGTCGTTTCGCCACTCAGGTTGAAAGGGGAAAGGGCAAACTATGGGAGGGAGAAGATTTGAAGGTTTTTCCCTATACCCACTGTCGGGCTAAATTGATGTTGTTTGTTTGCGCTTGGGGAGGACATTTTCGAAACTAGACGACGGCGTGGCCTGAAAGAAGAGCAGGAATAGATCAAAAGAGGATGGAAAAGAAGATATGAAGATGTCGGATGATGAGTGATGATGAGAGATGAAATGTGGTTGTTGATGCATAATGACTAATGAATTTGTAATGATTAATCATGAAGTTATGATGTCATATGTGTATCTGTATAACTTTATGCAGTCTATTCAGATGACAGCCATGAGCCCAGTGAATTGTGATTTGTGACGTCAAAATACATTGTCAAGAAACAAGGCACGTTGCAATTGCACCCTGACTGCAAGACAAGACAGGAACCGAAGCTCAAAAGCAAAGAAGCAAACGATAGACCCAACAAGTCGCAATTGCACGTGAAGTGATCGTCGCGCCAGCTATTTCCACAAACATGAAGCATGCTGCAAGCGAAGGCCTTCAAGTTGCGATTGAGCTGATGAGGCATTTGAATATATTTATCAGTAAATGCGAGGTGGAAAAGGGCTACTTAGTAGCAGTAGTTTGCGGCATTTGGCCACAGCCATTCGTCTTCAACCTGGCAGCACAGCAAGGAGACCAGAAGACAGATGTTCTTGCAAAGTGTTGCGACGCTTAGGTGATAAGCAAGACATGACGCATCAAGAGCAAAACTGGGATGTTAAACTCATACATGGCCCGCAACTCCAAGTTAAGGCGGCGTCGTGCGAATGTTTGCAGCAGAGAAGAGACATGCTCCAGGTAAGTGGCTGGAAAACCCAGATTGTGCTCCGAACAAACCTTGTTCGGGCAATCCACATTGTTCAAGAACTACGCGAAGAAATTTGCTCTGGCACAAGCACGCTATTGCCGCCAAAGACATTTCATGTCCAGCAATGAAGAGCCATGCGTCAGTAGCTGGTGCCAATGCCTTGGGCAGTGGCTCCAGCAGCTCTTTTTTGATGAATCTCCGTGACCCATCACGAATTGGGAGGCCCGTTTCTGTGCAAAGCTATCGCAAAACATCCACACGCTTGTCGTCAAGCTCCTTTCGCAGCCAGTTCCCGCCATGGTCAGCCACGTTGCTCGCCACTCTTGGCCAAGTTCCTCTTCGAGACTCTTCCTTGTTGCAGTTGCTTCCTGAGCATGGCTGCAATTGCCGATCTCAAAGAATGATATCAGGTTCTCAATGACAGGGAAAACTTGCACTTCGATCAAGCACCAAGCAAACAAAAACATCCCACACAGGGCTTGCCACATTCTTACAAAAACCATGTATTTTGACACAAACCCATAAAGAAAAACGCTTGGCACCCAGCAATAAAGAGATGAGTCAGTGGCTGGAGCCAATGCCTTCACCAGTTGCTCCAACAATTCCTCTACATTCAGCATCGTCCGACGGCCAGGGTGCCGAATTGAAATTTTCGCTGCTGAACACAGTTTTTCAAAGATATTCTGTACAGCACTCGATGCAGCCCCTCTGCGGACTCGACAGCCAAACGTGGAGAAGGACTCAAGTCCTTTGCCAATACTCGCACCAGGCATCCTTCTGAAGAACTCTCCTGGCTCGCACCAAAATGCGTAAAGGGTTTCTGCCCCATTGTCACGAAGCTGTGAAGGTAGCGCGTCCAAAATCTGCTGTGGAGAACATTGGGTGGCTGCAGCAGAGGGAGCAGATCCACGCCACTGCTGGCAGATCCGGCCTGGCTGGTCACAAACAAAATGCAACAAATTAGTATTAGCAAAACATGGTTCACAACACGACACCCTGCGCGAAGACCAACCAAAAAGAAAACACTAACGACCAGCCTCTGTGTAGAAACTCAAAAAACGCAGGAGATCTTGCCGCATTTCCTCTTCACTTTTGAAAAAGGTCCGAATCATGGTGGCGAAGTCGGATGCCCGCAGCAGCGCGCAGGCCTCGAAGGTCACCACATTCTCTTCCTGATAGCTCATCGTGTAGAAATCGTGAACCTTGAGATTTCGAACTTTGGTCTTCAAGCGTTCGATCCATTTATGTAGATCCGACTCCATGGGCCCCTCACACCGCAACACAACAGCAAACAACCAGCGTCGCACAGCTGATCGCTTCACACAATTCGTGGTCACAACCAACTTGTACGTCTTTGTTGCCTTGTGAAAAAAACACTGCTGTTTATTATTGCTCTGTCTGTGAGTGCCACATGATGAATTCTTTTTTATTACCGGTGACAACAACACCAACTGACACATGGGGTTCCAACTACCCTAGCACACCCAAACTTTAGATGTCGTCAAGTGGCTCTGAGCCGACAAGATAACCACATGGAAAGAACGACAACGCTGACATACAACAAAAAACATGCGTAGCACAATGACTTGTTGCACACACACACACACACCACGGTCCCATCCAACTTCGGCTCGCAAAGGTTTGTGCACTTTTGCACCGTAAAAAACATTGCTGCTTCTGATTGCATTGTCTGTCTTTGAGCAAACATCCCCACAACACAAATGCAAATTGCTGACAGGGGAGCGCATTTACCCAAAAAACGTTTACAAACAGCAAAGGCTATTACACACAGACGTGTTTACACCCAGAAGCTTTTACAAACAGAACTTTTACAGACAGAAACTTTTACACGGGGAAGTCTTTACACAGCGGAGCTTTTACACACAGAAGCTTTTAGACAGAGTTACACACAGAAACTTCTGCACACATAATTTTTTTCACAGAGAAACTTTAGAACACTCACGCGTGTATGCACAGAAACCTTTAGACAGAATCATTCCATCTAAGATGTCAAAATCGCAATTTTACTTTCATGTCGTTCGAAAGGGTTGCATCTGACCTTGTGAAATCGCAATTTTGCACAAATTTTTGACATTCCACCTTCATTTCGTGCGGAAGGGTTGCGTATCCTACGCGTCGGACGCCTAAACTCCTAAACGTGCGGTGAAATGCAAATTTGGTGTCCTTGGGCAACCATCTCCTGAGCTCGTGCGTGTCGGACGCACAAACGTGTGGTGAAATGCGACTTTTGTTTTTGCCCTTGGGCAACCCTCTGTGGAGATCGTGCGTGTCGGACACACAAACGTGTGGTGAAATGCGATTTTTGCGGTCCGCGGCGTTGACTTTTCTGTCTTGGCATCAAAAACGGGTATAAAATATGAGATGAAGGTCGAAAACTGGTGTGAAATTGTGTTTTTACAACGTGAAGTGCAAAGAAGACGAAAAATTGGCGTGAAATTGCGCTTTTGAAATATCAGTTCCGCAAAGGGTGACGTTTCGATGGACGAGGCTTGGCTGCCCCTGGCTCCAAGAGAGGGAAATATAGAAAAACTTAGGAAGTAGGAGGTTTGTAAGAGTTCAGATACAAGTAGATCACCCAGAAGTTAACTCCTGTGAAGTTAACCCCTGTGTAGCAATTCCTTAAAAAAACTCCTGTATAACAACTTCCGTGTCACAACTCATGTAAAACAATCCCTGTGTAAGAACTTGTGTAGATTGTGTAGATGATGTATGTGATGTGTGATGTACATGGATTGATGTATGTGATGTTGACGAAATTGAAACATGATGTTGATGATGTATGTGATGTAGAGGTTGATATAGATGATGTAGGGGATGTATGTGATGTAGCTGTAGATGATGTAGATGATGGAAAGGATATAGGACAGATGTAGGAGATGTAGATTGATGCATGTGATGTAGATGAAGCCGATGTAGATGATGTATTTGGCAGCAGTTCTTTGGAAAAGACACCGTTCGCAGGAGTTTTCGGGAAAACACGGTTTTCAATTTCCTTTCTCATGCTGTTTGTTTCGATAGCTTGGGCACCGTTTGTGTTGATGGGAGGGAATGCCAGATGGCAGGGTACATGTGACTGCAGTGAGATGTGGTTTCATGCATGAATCCTGTGCTTGCTGCGTGCAAAGCGAAAGTGGGAAGGTCTTCAAATGCCGTAGCCCTGTGTCTTGTCCTGGTGGCCCGCCTGGCACTTGCGCTGGTGGGCTCATTGGCACTCCTTGCTCGCAATGCCCAGCAGGCCTGAAGATTCTCTTGGGTCACCCTGCTTGCTTGTTGGCATGGGGTTGCTAGTCTTAGTTCTCAGGTGCCCAAGTGAAAATGTATTCCATGAGCCGCTGCAATCGCCCAACCCAGCAAGCATGCAGTTCAAGCTTACGTTTGTTGAGGACATCCCAAGATTCAGGCCTGCTGGGAGGTTTGAACTCGATGCAAAATTCCTGTTTGCATATATTTTAGGTAATGTGTGCCTCTGATTAGTGTGAGGGCCCCCCCCCCCTAAACAATTTGAGGATACTCTATAACTCGCACTTTTTTTTGCCCCCCCTCAACATTTTTTTGGTCAATCAACTTAAGAAAGGATTTCAATTTACTTTCAATTGATTTCAATTTACTTTCAATTTAATTTCAATTGATTTCAATTTACTTTTAATTTACTTTCAATTGAATTCAATTTACTTTCAATTTAAATTTAATTTATGTTTTTTTTCACTACCAAAAGTGGGTGCTCACAATAGAGTACCATCCAGACAATTATATTATTGAGTAACTGGGCCACTCATGAGGTACCACCTTGAAAAATTGTCTGGATGCTGTTTTTTAATAAGGGTTTAATAAGGCATCTAATTATTTGGGAAACCTTGCATTTTAAAACTTTAACACACACATTGCTTTCTAAAGTAAAGGGACCAGCTTTAGCCAAAGAAAGGTGGAGAAAAGGTTTTATTTTCTTTTTCACTCCCAAAAGTGGGTGCTCACAATAGAGTACCATCCAGACAATTATATTATTGAGTAACTGGGCCACTCATGAGGTACCCCCTTGAAAAATTGTCTGGATGCTGTGTTTTAATAAGGGTTTAATAAGGCATCTAATTATTTGGGAAACCTTGCATTTTAAAGCTTTAACACAAACATTGCTTTCTAAAGTAAAGGGACCAGCTTTAGCCAAAGAAAGGTGGAGAAAAGGTTTTATTTTTTTTTTCACTCCCAAAAGTGGGTGCTCACAATAGAGTACCATCCAGACAATTATATTATTGAGTAACTGGGCCACTCATGAGGTACCCCGTTGAAAAATTGTCTGGATGCTGTTTTTTTAATAAGGGTTTAATAAGGCATCTAATTATCTGGGAAACCTTGCATTTTAAAGCTTTAACACAACTATGGCTTTCTAAAGTAAAGGGACCAGCTTTAGCCAAAGAAAGGTGGAGAAAAGGTTTTATTTTTTTTTTCACTCCCAAAAGTGGGTGCTCACAATAGAGTACCATCCAGACAATTATATTATTGAGTAACTGAGCCACTCATGAGGTACCCCCTTGAAAAATTGTCTGGATGCTGTTTTTTAATAAGGGTTTAATAAGGCATCTAATTATTTGGGAAACCTTGCATTTTAAAGCTTTAACACAAACATTGCTTTCTAAAGTAAAGGGACCAGCTTTAGCCAAAGAAAGGTGGAGAAAAGGTTTTATTTTCTTTTTCACTCCCAAAAGTGGGTGCTCACAATAGAGTACCATCCAGACAATTATATTATTGAGTAACTGAGCCACTCATAGGGTAATTAATATGTTAATGAATAATAAAGCAATAAAAAAAATAATTAAAAAAGGAAATAATGAAAAAATGAAACAATAGTAAATACAATTAAAATAAAAATGGAAAAGTAAAAAGTAAAAATAAAAAATAAAATAAAAATAGATAAACTAATAAATAAATAAATAAATAAAGTAATTAATTAATTTCAAACAAAAAGCATTTGGAAAAAAAAGTTGAAAAAGAAATAAATCTGGAAAAAAATTCTCACAATAGAGGCTCCCCCCCAACAATTAGCATGTTACTGAATTAGGAGCAAGAAATTTCTCACAATAGGGTACCAGGCTTCTAATCAGAGGCAAACATTACTTGTAATTGTTTTGGGTACGCCTCCTTCACTTCTTGTCTGCTTTTGGTACCGTGTTTATAAAAGAAATCTTGGTTGGGTACCCGATCCATCCTTGGGTGTTTCCTTGGAAACAAGCGAGTTACAAGCAATTTGCAGGGGCCACGTGGACCGGAAGTGAATGCGAGGATTGCGCCGGGTGGCGTCAAGCTCTATGGGAAGCTTGGTGGAATCCAGAGCTGGATCATGGGTCGAGTGAGATATGGGTGCTTGCTGGAAATTCAACCAAAGCAAAGCAACAGGGTTTTGTCCAGATTTTTTGGTAGGTGCCGCAATTGGCCAGTGCACAGTGCAGACGGAGTCAAGAGCATTTCCGTGGCGCGCTTTTAAGGCCTTTGCAGTGGTTGGCATTTTCGCATTCTTGACTGTGGCGTATTATCTCGCTACTTCCAAGGCCGGTCTTAGCAAGCTAGAGCAGATGCAGCAACAGAGTCATTCCAATAGGGGCTGTTTCTATTGTTACCTACAGAGACGAAAAGATGACACATGATGCTATGAAGGTTTGCAATGAGAGCCAGTTCTGCCTTCACTCGGGCCGATAGTAAGGTCACAGCGAAAGCCACCGTGCTTTTCGCCACAACGGCTTCATTTGGCATGCTTGTGATGGCAATGCAAAACATGGGTCTCGTTGGCATGATGACTGTCGAGTGGCCAGTGAGCCTTGAAGGGCTGTTCAGCATTTGCCAATTCCTCCTGCTTGACATTGACAGCTACGGGTTTTCCTGCATTGCCGGCCAGTCTGAATCCACCCGCTACTTGCTGAGCGCCTTGATCTTCCCAAGTGGTGTCGCATGGCTGGCGCTTTGCTTTGCTGTGTCAAAGCTCTTCCCAAAAAAGCACCAGTGGGAAGGGCCCAAGGTGTGCAGTACAATGGGCGCTTTCCTGCAGGTTGGATTCAGCACAATGAGTGCAACATCGTTGGCTCCCATGATGTGCTACCAGCATCCGAACGGCCAGCGAAGCATCATGAAGTATCCTGGCGTCATTTGCGGATCTGCAGAGCACGATATGATGTTAGTCATCGCATGGATCTTGCTGGTGGTGTTTGTCTTTGGCTTCGTGGCGTTGTGCGCCTTTGCCGTCTTCATGGCCACTTGACTGTTGCGAACCGTGTGGGGGACCTTTTCACGAGGGCGTAGCTTTGTAGCTTGTTTGGCTTGAATTTCCATGTTTTGCTGCTGAGCTTGCTCATGAAACAGCAGTGTCTTCTTAAAGACATCTTGAGCATAAAATCACACTTTGTCATCAAACTACTTGCAAAGATGCTCAACTCGAACACGTATTGATCGGTGCGAGTCTGCGAGCACGATGCTCTGCGCTGAGGTGCCACGGTGGAGTGCCAAGCGACAGAACCACTTTGTTGCCTGCGCCCGCTTCCTGGTGTTTCGCTTCCGCCTGGTGTGGGGAATGTGTCACATGTTTGCAAACTTGCATATCATACGTGTATAGCTTTAGGTCTTGGACCCCGACGAGGCCTGTTTTGCTTCTCACCTGCCTCCACTCCAAGAGTTAGGGTGATGGCAGACAATGATACGCTTCCGCCTGGACTCATGGTGGTTTGGCGTGCCATTGCTTGTTCGAGGTCCACTGATCAATTTGCCAGTGGTAGCGGCCACTGACTACCCGCCAATCCAGGTTGTCGTGATCGCGATGGTTTTGACGACAGGCATG